CCCACCGCCCCCCACCCCCCGCCGAGGCATGGCATGGCACGGCACACCTGGCCCAGCCTTGCCCAGCCCCCAGCCCCAGGCATAGCGCAGCACTCCTGGCCTGGCCCAGTCCTGACCCTGCCCCCCAACCCCATTGGTGAAGGGGCCCTACATCTAGCTCGCAGGAAAGCAAAAGCAAAGTCCCTGTGCTAAACTTGGCACCGTTTTTGTCTCCCCACCAGGGAGGCACAGCTTTTGTTTCCCCACTGATGAGGATCCAGGGGGGTCCTGATTGGTCGTGGCCCAGGCCCAAGCCCAGCTGACCCATCCGTTAATTCGCCTATGGCCTTGCATCCCTTGCAGGTTGCTCTCTGAATTCTGTTTCTGCTGTGAGTCTCTGCAACCTGGCTTCCAAAAAGCATACGCCACTCTTTCCATTGTGCCTGAGTAAGAGGGTTTGGGTTTCCTGTTACATTTGTCCATGAAAATCAAAGGCCTGATTCTCATTTAACCTAAGACCCTTTCATATTTACACTCAAGTTAAGATTCTTTAATGCTCCAGTAACAGTGGAAATGTCAGTCAGACTCCATATTTGAAAATACCACTAGATTTAATCAACTAACACAATACACAAAAACGTGATTCTCTCATATGATGATAAGGATGGCCCAAGCAACAATATTTGGTTCTAGATCTTGGTTTTCATGGCATTCAAGGGGATCTCATGTTCCAACTGAAATCTAACCTGCATAGCAATCTTTTAACCAATGGACTTTGGAACCTGATCCAAACTTTTCCATACTTTGAAGAGTTTTGAATCATTGTTTCATTTCAAAACTACATCCACAATAACATTTTTACCTTTGACTTGAAGGAGATACTCCAATATTGAGGTTTATTTGCAGAGGGGAAGCCATTTTGAGATGAGAGTCACTGGCCCTCAAATCAGCCATCATGGAGTAGAAGCCAATGGTGTGTGTGTATGGTACTGCAGTAAAAGCTATGAATTTAAGGGGGAGATCCTTTGAAACAAGAAGCTGTATTTTTGGGGAGAAAATTACCACCAAAGTAACAATAATATAGAAAATAGTTCTCCTTCTCCAAATTGAATTTTATTGTCATATGGAACCTGTGTTCAAATAAGCATATGTGAGTGATGTCAGGACATTGCTACCAACTGTTCGTACTGTTCATGGTGGAAAAAACTGTTAATTACAAGGTTGAACCATGGTTTGGAGTGGGGGGGAAGGGGCAGGGGGAGTGGGGCATGCTGAATTGGAAGCATGGAACTGCAGGCTGGCTTATTTGGGGTGCAAAGAAGCATTTGCCACACCCAGTCTAGGTGTTAGGGAGTTTATTTAAATAAGCCACCTACACCTAAACTGGCAGCAGGTGTTCGCTGCTGCTAGTAGTGCCGTGTTACATGCATTCACAACTTCTGGGAGCTGCATGGGGAAATTAGAGTAAGTAACTGGGGTGGAAGAAGGAGCAGGGAGGAGGGTGGTTGCTGCATTGTTGGTAGAGAAGGGGTTGGAGGGCTAAAAATAGTGTGGTCAGGGTTGAGGGGTGGGAATAGCACAGCCTTGGGGCTGGGGCAAGCCACTGGGATTTCCCAGGACTAGGGCTGTGCAGCAAATGCATGCAAGCATTACTGAGATCAGGTTAACTTTTTCTTAGGTTGGGTTAACCCTTTCTTAGATCAGATTAGTTTAATCTGATCTCAATCTAAGTTAGTGCATGTATTCGGGTGAACTAATTTAGACTGGGTTTACCGTTTTTTGCCTGATTTTAACCACTGTGAAAACGTTCACAGATGGGAATTTAAATTGACCTAACCCTAGTTAGGCCGATATAAATGTAATGGCTGTATATACCCTAAGACTACTGAAAGTAAATTGTCCAATCTGAACATGAGATACAATTTGTAATTAAACTCACATTTTTGAGAGATTCTTGTCAATATAAAAACTAACCATTTTTATCAGTGTTGTTGCAGGAAGAGATAACATACAGATTATGAGTTTCAATTAGTTGATTTCATCACTAGTATTTGCCATTTAAAATATTGGGTGTGAACCTTGAATCACTATTGAATATGTTGCTTGTTAACATAAAAAAGCAACATATGGCTATTTTTAGTGTATGATAATAAGGCTTTATCTCCATTAAAATAAACTGGAGTTTTGCCATTAACTTCCATAGAGCCAGGATTTCACTCTTGATCATACATGAATGCAGGAGCAGGTTCATAATAAGGACAGAAATTAGAAAGAGGTCACCAGATTATATTCAGTCTTTCCTACCTCCCCATGCTAGAAATTGAGGAGTATTTCCTACAGTATATTTTCAATTTATTTTAGCTACTTACTGAAGGATAACAGATCCCATTAGATACAAAAGCCAGTGCTGTCTGACTTTTCTTCCATTTGTTTCACTTTTATAATAGCCCATACTGAGTGAAGGATATAAAGAGGCAAATGTGAATATTAATGACAGCAGCAGATATTTGTTGATCTTCTTACACTTGAATTGATTCTGCTGCATCTAGTGAAAAAATCAGGATAAAGTTTCAGAGCCCCAAAATAGTAAAACTGTTGTTTCCTTATTAGTCTTTTCAGCCAGAACTTGACTTGCCCATGCTGGCGGCCTCTGCAGTTGCAGGGTGCAAGCCCCTGCTTCTTGCACTCTTCCACATGCAGCGTCTCATTGAAACTGTATTCTCTTTTAGGTGCCAGGAGAGAATGAGAAGCACTGGAAACCAGCACTAGTTGTCCTGACTGAGAAGGACCTTTTAATATATGAGAGCATGCCACGAATGAAGGAAGCTTGGTTCAGCCCTCTTCATACCTACCCCCTGCTAGCAACCAGGTAGCTTAATGTTTTTGCATTTCAGTTGTTGCTGCAAGTGGTTGAGTCAGTGCTGGGGGCATGAGTTCAAGTCCTACTTTAGACTGCCAAGAACCCTAACCCAAGTGAAAATGTGGACCTGGTCATTTAGGCTGCAGAGTCAGTGGCATCAGGCATGGTGCCAGCCACATCATTCCATTATGTGCCACAGGCTACAGAACTGGTATGCCTTAACTGCACCAGCCTGTTAGGCTTAGGTGAATCTTTGACTTTGGTTGCAAAGTGGAAGAAGAAGTACTGGAAATCTCAAAAAAGCTGCATTTTTGTCTGTGAAATTTCCAATCCAGTTTGCAGGCCCAAGGGCCTGACATAAGCATCTGAAGTTTTGAATGCTTATGTGAACTGCACTTGAAATTCCTGCCCATGAGGTCAGTGTAGTCACACATTGCAACTACTGGCAGGAAACACAAAACCTAGTAGTGTTTCCACAGCTGAATGGTGGGAGGCTCACCCACCCAGGGGTATCCAGCTCCATCTAACACAGAGGGACAGATGGTGAAATATCTCAATGGATGGAGTGCACAAAGGGTGTTGCTAAAATGTTCTCTTTAATTAAAATAAACAAATAACAGTGAATGGGTTATGTGCTCAAATTGTTAATTTAATGAATGCAGTACTTTTACATGTGCAATAATGCGAAGTCAATCTAGATAGGTTTTTCAGTGGTGAGTAGTGATTTTGAATGTTCAATCTGAGGCACCTTTCAAAGTGTCTGATTTTTAGTAAGTACCAGCTTGTGAAAATCAGGCCCCTTCAAAATATCTGAAGTTAGTCCCCCCTGGACTCTCCACCTCTACTAATGAATCTCTAGAAATGTCTTAAATTAGTAGAATCACTATATAAATGTTCCTAAACTTGCCTGTTTTAGTTACTTACATGCAAATAGTGCTTGGATTTTTACATTATTTTTAATAATAAGTTAAGTAGTCTACTTGCTAATTTAAAACAGAGAGACCTGCTGAGAGAAAATCACCATTAAGGCATGGATAGGAGTTTGGTCTCCATTATCCTTTGTGTCCAGAATGTGGACAAGCACAATAGAAACGCAACGTGTTTAACTGAACAAGGTGGAAGGAAAGAAGGGATTGAATGAAATAGTTCCATACTTAGGTTTGTAGGAAAATAGGGCTAGAAGGGACCTAATGAAGTCATCTAGTCCAATTCTGTCCTCAGGGCAAGATCACCCTATTAAACCATTAAAGTTAAGTATCTGTCTAAACTGCTCTTGAAAATCTCCAGAGATGGAGATTCTGTAACCTCTGTATGTAGCCTGTTCCTGTGCTTGACCACTCTCAAAATCATCCCAACAATATTGTCACTAGTAGTTGTGATTTGAAAAACAATTGCTCAGGTAGCACACAGAGCACAAGTGCACACTGTTGTTCCCTCATGGTTTTTCTGCATTGTCTGAAGTATTTTCCAGTTGTGCTACATACTTCATGCTGTCCTAGATCTCAGAAATTGGCTTGGGTAATGTATGGTGAAGTTGCATCTAGAAGCGAGACCATCAGACCAAGAAGTATCAGCCCTTTGGCTTCATTTTTTTTTTTCACCACACATGTACAGAGCCTCAAGCTATGGAGAAGTATTCTGCATTTGTTTCATACACTGAGCATTATCTATGGTTTTTGACACTAGCTCACATCATGTTTGTCTGCCAGAATGGTCTTGAACTGGTGAAAGAGCTGCTGCTCTTACTGTCTCTGTTGTGCTCCAAGTCTGTATCAGATTATTTCTCAATGCCCTTCCATTCAGCCAGGCTGGTACCAGCCAGGCAGAAATAGTGGTGCCTTCAGTTGCAAGCTCATTAGTTCCTTGTACTTCTTGTTTACCCCACCAATTTTTTTTCCTAATGATCTACGATTTTGTTGCCCAGTAAGTCAAAGAAAATTCAATATCAGTGGAAATACACTAGAGTTTCTTCTGGACTAGTCTGTGTATACACAATAGACTTTCAGACAGCCTTAGAAAGAAATAACTTTCATCCTCATTTGCCAGTGTTAGCATAAAGTAAGGTGATCATGCTTTGTGTTACAAAACACAGGCAAGCGTGTGATCTCAAGCTGGCTCAAGTCACTTAAACTACTGACCTTTTATTGCATCTGCTTGAAGTATTAGATTTCCTGTTTAAAACTGGATAAGAGGTTGCAGCAAGAGCCTGTTAGAACTTCATGATGTACTGATATTGTCACCAGACTCTGGCCCTGTTCCTAGTCCACGGTATGTGGCAAGGGTGAAACATTTCATAAGCATGTGATAATGTCTAACAAGACCATAGCATTGCATCTGGATGACCGGGCCACTCTTGGGATGACATATCACATCCCGTTGCAATATCTTCATTTATGGAGGATGTCAGAAACTTTTCATGTAGTTCTGGAAGGGGGCAGTGCACAGCTGAGGAAGCTGAAGTGAAACTTGAAATGTGAAAGTCAGATTTAACCTTTGTCCATGTTCCCAAACAAAACTTTTAGAAAACATGAACAACAGACCTTGTATTAAGTGATGCCAAAAATGAACTGTGCTTCCAGGTGGGGCTTAAAAATAATCAAGAATTACAAAACACATACTTCATATGGAGCCTTTTTTTTCATTTTTTGTTTCCTCTGCTTGTGAGATTTGTATCTTACCAGCATATTGATATTACTGCAGTGCGTTGAGCATGATGTACAACAGGAAAAATCCTTGCCCAGGAGACAGAGACTGGAGACAGTTTAGTGTCGTTATTGCTGGCATGTGAAGTTACATGCTGTGAACTGCACAAAAGTCCACATTGTTCATCTAAATCAAGAGGGATGGCTAGATTGTTCCACTTAATTTGAGAGTATGATTAATCACAGGCACATTGAGTCATGTTGGCAGGACAACGAAGGGAACCTTCATCATTGCTGTCCTTGCTGTACCTGCTTGAGGGACTAAAAGTAGCATCTCAGTTTCTTGGATTTTCAGTTTAGTACTTGGAATCCAATGCTTATTTTACTGCTGATGAACTGTGATATGCCAAATGAAGTATTTCATATTTCTTTATTACTTTTCCTTGTTTATTTTTCTTCAAACCCTCAGCCAGAGAGTCAGTGCTCTGCTTATGCCCTGTCTGAGCTCTTCTGTCCCCCAAAATATATCTGCTTAACTGGCAAAAACCATCTTCCTGGAAATTTCCCCCCTAGAGCCAGGGAAATTTTTCAAATAAAACTAAACTCCATTTCCAAAGTGATTTGGGAACCTAAGGATGACTGTACACGTGCAGAAAGACTTCTCTGATGCGCTGTAATTACAGAGCATTGGAACAGCGCTAATTAGCACGCCCCAGCCACCCTCCGCATCTCGTGTATCAGCATCCCTTCACTTCAAAATAGCTGGTGCAATTAGCTTTAGATAAAGCACCCCCCACCACCACTATTTTGAAGCACGGGGACACTGATATACAAGATGCTCCAGGGCACCTTAATTAGAGCGGTTCTTTGAGCTACTGTAATTAAAGCGCCCCCTCCCCCCCCAAGCATGTATAAAAACACCCTAAATATATGTCCGGTACCGTGACTCTTCCCATTTTTAGCTACCCAGTGACCCAGCTTCAACAGGGTGGACAAAGGCTACCTTCAGATTGACATTGCCCAGGGGCTGGCAATTAAGGCACTTTTGCTTGGCAGTGGGAGTTGTGGACTCAAACCCCCCTCCCTGTGGCTGAGGAGAACCTAGAACCTGGGTCGCTGGGTAAATACCTGAACCACTAGATTATTAGGCTGGAAGGTGGGTGGGTTCTCCTCCTCCACCGAGACTTCTTCAGAGCCAGCTGGATCCCCACTGAAGATTAGGAGAGCTATGCATCTGAGCAGATTAGGATTGCTCTGTGGGAGCCCATTAGGCTGCCCATTTATGATAAACAAACTATGAATCTCCCTAGGTGGATTTGGATCACACTCTGAGGCAAAACGTGCTATTTTAGGGGAAGGCATAGAGATGGAACGGCACGGAGCTATTTATTAGTCACTAAGTGTGAGTACGTACCTGGTCACTTCTGCAAATGAGACTAAAGCACTTCAGAAGACTTCAGCCTTTCTAACAGAAATACATGACAATGACTGCTGACAGTGCTAGGAAATAGTCAGAAATTCTCATGACAAAAGCAACAGCCTTTAGGCTCATGAGAAACCTTTACTTCATCAACTCTATATATGCCAGTTCACTCAATGAGGAAGGGAAATTATGTATTTAACTGGGCAAACCAGACCTGATGTTCCCAGTGAGACTGTGCCTCATCACTAGTACTTATCTTCTGTATTGTATCAGAAAATAAAATTTGGGGAAAAAACAACACAGCAGGCTTATGCACACATTCAGTGTTGCATTTGGCTGCAGGTGGGGAAAGCATCATTCACAGTCTGTGTGATTTTACTTTAGGAAGCTTAGAGGGTGAGCAGATTGCACAGAAACATTAATGTTGTTGCCCTGCATGTGGGTAGGTGAGTGCTCAGTATTTGGAAATACCCAGCTCTTTTTAGACACTCACCAAGTTGTGGTTTTGGGTCACCTCACATTTGACGTTTCTGCTTCTGATTAAGCACAAAGGTCAAGTGTGATGACCTGGTGGTGGGGGGAATATGGGAATGGACAGTGGATCTCCGGAATGCTGGAGGCCCAGATCGTGCTCCGTAGAGCATACACACGACAGGAAGCAAAATGCGTCTAGATCAACACTCGTTGGAATGACGTACTGTTTGGAGGCACTCGGGCACTTCAAAGGGCATGTACATCTGCAAGGGGCATACTTTGAAAGACTTAAAAGGCATTTGAAATGCTTCAGGTGTGACATCTGTCTGCAACCTAAACTTCCTTGGTCCATGTTCTTCCAGAGCTGCTTTCCTAAGTGCTCTGGCATGCTCCGTCTGTTACCTTGTACGATAATGGCGCCAAGTGCTTCAGCTCCATGAACCAGTGCTGATCCAAGCTCCTTCTTCCACTAATTGAAATCCTCCCTTTCTCAAAGAGGAAACCACTCTTTGTTCATGGGCATCACAATGGACAAAAGATCATCAGAAATGTTAAACCTTTTCTTAGCCACCCCTGGGTATTTCAGACAGCAGAGAAAACAGAGGAGTCTCATATTCAAAATTAAATTTGCATGCCAACACAAATAAACAGGTCTCAAAGTCAAGCGGACTGTGTAAGATGACAGGTTCCTAAAACCATCACACCTGTTGGTTTGGGGGTTTTTTTTGCTTAAAACCCAGTGGAACTTCTAATTTGTCTGTCTGTCGTACAGCGCACACACAAAAATGCATGCAATATGCTACTGATACTGACTGCATAGTTCATATTTTTGTCAGTGATTATCAGGGATCCTGGTTTTTTCTGTTTAAAAATTGCCAGTTCTGTGATTTAAAAAAAATCGTAAATTCTTTGATTAAATACCCCCAAATCCATGTTTTCCCATGATTAAAATGAAACACCTATCTATCTATCTATCTATCTATCTGTAGAACACAATGTTTTATTAATATATTTACAATTTTAAAGCAGTTTGGAAGCCTACCAGTGCCTCAGTCACTGTAATAGAATTAATTCTAAATATCTATAAATTTTGGTATTTGATTTTGGGCTTTTTATCATAGAAAATTAGATCTCCTTCTGCCTACTTGGTTCACCAGGATGTGGGTCCAGCTGGAGCTGTGACCCCCCCCACCCCACTTCACTGGTTTGCGGCACTGAGTAGCCCTGATATGCTGGTGTCCTGCCTATGCCTTTGCCCCTCACTTTCCACCTACAGCCCCCTCCACCCTGTTGGGGCCCCTCATTCCCCAACCACAGCCCCTGGCCATGCTGGTGCATCTCACTCCCTGCCCCTGCCCCAGCATTCCCTCTAAGCTGCATGCCCAAGGGGTGCCATGGTGGAGCAGAGCCTGGCTCCCCCTTCCCAATATGCGATACGGCTGATGGCAGCAGCTAGAGGCACAATGCGGCACTGTCACTCCTGCTGCTGCTGTGCGGGCTGGAGGCATTTCACCATGGTTGTGTGGGACTCGCAGCATCAACACCAAGCTTCCCTGCCCCTCTTTGCCCTGCTGTAGTGTGTCCCACCCAATGGGCTGTGGAGGCCCCATGGAGGGCACCAGGGTGGGGAGCCCAAGCCTGCAGCAAGCAGCCTGCCCCCACACACAAATCTGGGGGAAATGTGCCCCTCATACCCCACTGGGAGTGTCTGCAGTGGTGGGAAGCCAACTCCACCCCCACTCTCCTGGACAAGCCACCTTCAGCTCCATCTCGCTCCCCTCCTGGGCCCTGCAGCCGTGCATTCTGGCCACGGGACTCAAGCCCCACACCGCTCCAGCTAGGCAGCAGTCCCAGTCCTGTGCAACTCCCTCCCTCCCTCAGTATGGGGGCCTCCTGCTCCCCAACCAATCCTGCTCCCCAACCAGACTTACCTGCAGGAGCTGCTCTCCAGGCTGCCTGGTGACAATGTGCATGTGTGTATGCACACATGAACATGGTGCTCCCTACCTGACTGCTCTCCTCCCATTTCCTCCAGCCCCTTGCAGGCTGAAGTCTGCCAGCCTCCAAGGAAAAACCCACTGTTTTCTGTGTTTTTCTCCTTTAAAGGAGAAAATTTGGGTTTCACTATGTTTTTCCATGGTAAATGGAAAACCCTGATCCCTAGTGATTACGCTCCCACTGGCACATTCTCTAATATCCTTCTGTGCATTGATTAGTGCAGTTCATAACTTTTTACCTGGAAAGTTTGCAGACAGTATGTTGCAATCTTGGCTGCTTCTATCTTTCAGCTCT